ATATGGTTGTATTGCTCAGCAGTCAAAACAGGACCAACCATTGACTTTGAATTCCCAGTGTTTGATCCCAAATTTCCAGTATCCAATGGTTTCGAAGTGTGCACTTGATTAGCAGTGGCTTTTGACTTAGAGTTTCCTTTTCCTTTAGTAAATTGATAGTCAAGTGGATAACCATGCAGCTTATAACAATTGTCACGTTTATGTCCAGGAATATGGCAAAATTCACATTCAATATAAGGTTTTTTTCCCTTATATTTTTGGCCTTGACTCTGATTTTTTCCATTTCCAATATGATTGGCATAAAGTGCAGTACTTATCTCTGGATTCAAACTCATTCCTGCCAATATTTTCTGGCTTTCATCTTGATTGACTATTGAATAAGCCTGTTTGACACTTGGTAAAGGATTCATCAGCAAGATTTGGCTTCGAACCATTGAATAAGACTCATTTAACCCCATTAAAAACTGCAATAGCTTCTGCTGATTTAAGTGCTCCAAATATGCCTTCGCTGAGACACTATCAGGTGCAGGGAGACTGACCAAAGAATCCAGTTCATCCCACAATGACTTGAGCTTGCTGTAGTAGCTAGCTACTGTATTAGTTCCTTGAGTCAGATTAGAAATTTCCCGATGTAATCCAAAAACTCTAGTCCCATTCACTTTGTTATACTGCTCCTTCAAATCTTGCCAGACTTGTGCAGCACTCGTGGAGTAAACTATACCATTAAAGATCTCCTTTGAAACTGAATTAAAAATCCATGCAAGTACTAATGAGTTGCATCTCTCCCATTGCGGAACCAAGCTAGAATGTACAGTCGATTTTGTGCAAGTACCATTAACAAATCCAAGTTTGTTTTTGGCACAAAGAGAGACTGTCATGGCTCGACTCCAAATGTTGTAATTATCAATTCCAACGAGTTGCTCAGAGACCAGTACAGAGCCTGGTGTATCTGATGGATGAACATACAAGGGCGAATTGGAATCAATCGTCTGAATAGTTACTTCTTCTGTCAATGTTGCCATATCAGTTAACCAATACCAAAATTGATTGTTCCAAAATCAAATTCAAGTAGAAATTAGCAAAGAATTCAGGTTGAATCAAACCTAAATCAAGATTTTGAGCTAAAACAAAAAACCTAAAATCCAAGATTTCGAACTAGAAATGAAAGAAATGAAAGAAGAAAATCAAGTTTTAAGCTTGAGTGAGCTTGGCTGAAGTAAAGAGAGTTGATTCGATTTGACCCATTTCCCAGATTAAGAGTGCTCTGATACCATGTTAATAAAGCAGGAAAGAAGAAGACGAATTGTATTTTGGGAAAAATGAAGTCACTCTTTAGTCTTTACTAATGCATTACTGTTTCTTTATATACAATAGTCAACTTATGAGTTAACTAACTAAACAGTAGCAATAAAACTAACTCAACAACAGTTAATTAACTAAACAGAAATTTAAATTACATAAATGTCCTGTATAGCTAATACCCGCTAATAGTTTTTATCTTATATTTATACATTTATTCTTCTCGGCCAGCCACCAGCCAACCAGACATGAAATAAAGAAGAATCGACTGGCTATGACTTCAAGTTAGAGAAATTAATGGTTTTGATAAATCTGACTTCAATTATCAATATCATTTGTTTTTGTATGTGCTTCATATTTATTTAATATTTTTTTATAAACTAAATATTTCTAATTTCTGAATTACTGAAGGATAATAATATAATAAAAGGGGTTTAGTGAGAAAAAGACAACTTTTATTCATCCAAGTTGAAAATTAAAATTGGTCCAAGAAGATACCCACATACAAGTTTTCATCAACTAATACAATTTAATATTCACAAATTATTAAACAAATCCAAAAGTTAAATAAATATTCTTTAATATGGTAAAGCCACCCTAAATTTTCTCTTTAGAACTTTCAATATCCAACGTCGGAATTCCATGACGAAACTTTCCATTACGTAAAATGATTGTGAGCTGATTGATTCTTACTTTTTCCAACATATAAATAATTAATTAATACTTTAATTGTAGCAATTTTTCAAATAAATTGTAATTGGTCTACGGCCTTATTCCATATATTATATAATAGAAATGTAGATAATGTTAATTATTTTGACAAGTCATTATAATAATCACCGGATTAAATCAATTGTAAGATTGTGGTCACAACTTCAAAACAATAATGCTTCTTTGAAAATAATTAATTCGGTGAGGCTATATTATATATTATTAAGTAATATATTATATAATAATAAAATTAAATGCATGCACATGGCGTCTATTAAATCGGGTGACAGTGAGATTGAATGAAGAATAAAGGAAAGTCAGGAATATTTTTAGAAAATAAAGTCAGCGTTATCCCATAATACCAAGTATTAATAACTTTACAATCAGGAAATTATATTAGGGGAGTTATTCATATACCTTTGGCGGATCGTTTGGTCCTAACACATCCAAAGTTTACAAAAATTATTCAAAAGCCCCTTATAATTTATTAATTAAAAATAACATTGTCTTATAGAGTTTTTAATAATTATAGGAAATTTTTAATGGTTTTATAAAATCTTGGGCGTGTTTTAGATTAAACGATCTTAAAAAGTGTGTATAAAATAAACTTAAAAATTGATATAGAAAATTGCATTGAAAAGAACTAAAATGTAAAGTTTAACAATAAAGATGTCAACCACGACTCGGTGGTTGAGTGGTTAGATAATGACTCTTATATGTATTACTCAAGAAGTCTTGAGTTCGAGTCACCATAATTCTTAATAGGAATTACTGAACTCGCCTCGGTTGCTATTAGGGATAATCACTGAAAGGTATACTAGGTCGTTAACTTCATAGTCTTGGGGGATTAGTCGAGATGGACATAAACTGGTTCGGATACCTTGATTACACAAAAAGAAAACCTGATAAATAGGCCAAATAAAATAATTTATAGGAGATGAACTCGAAATTTTAATATGTAAAATCTTAAATTTTTTGTACGAGATAGAGAATTATCGTTCACGGGTAGTAGTTGTTCTCGTTTTGAATTCAATTCACTTAACACATTTGGTGAAGGCATTGGCCCTTTCTTGGAAACTCAATTATTAATACAAAATTGACCATTCGGTAAGGCGAAAGGCAAAAATGTCTTCTTATTATATTTTAGATACTATAGGGGTAAATTACATAGACACCCTGAGAATTACAAAATAACTTTACCCCCACAATATGAAAAATAATATACAAACTTCCCCTCCACAAAGAATCTTAAGGAATTGGATGCATTGAAGATTTTATGCCCAGTTTCCTGACAGTCAAATTTGTGCCACGCATCCCTGAGGTATATCAAAGCCTAACAGCCAGGATCTTCTCACGTATCGTCCCATTAGTGTTTGTCTTCCCTCACAAGGTGATTACTATCATAAGCATAAGTTTAGCTATAATTAACATGACTCGATTTGTCACAAACATAGAAATTACTAACTCAAATTCAGGGGGGATTATGCATGCAAACAACCCCGTAACACCCACTCCTAATCAGTGTTAGACAAACAAAGTATAAAAGAGGCCTATAGCCTCCGTTTCAAAGGATGACAATTCCAGTTTATTAGTAGAGTTCAAGGAAAAATGCACATCGACATATTTTAGAGTGTTTCAAGAGAATAGCTCGTGAGAGTTGAATGCCTTCCATTTAGCTCACAATTTTTCCTTTGTAACCTCATTCAACCCTGTAAACGTCCTTAACAATAATATAATAGTGGATGTAGGCTTGGTCTTTATACGACTTAATCACTATAAAATCCCTCTTGTTCTTTACTTTATTATGTTATTTTTATTGACCTTGTTGGTTACTAGTAGCTACGGCCTACGCTACGCCTACGCATACAACTTACTTGGTCCCTTCTGATGTCAATTGGGTATCTCTGATTGGTACGATTTTTCACAGCAATACTAGGATACTTAGAAATAGAATTAATTGTATAAATTTTGAGTTATGGGAGATTGTGAAATCTCAAACGCTACCAATATAAAAACCCTTTAACCTCATAATAATAGATATTTAATAATATTTTAAATCGTTGAGAAGTTTGAAATTTATTGATCTTTCAAGTCGTTAGATAAAATTAATCTTTAGAAATTAAAAAAACCTAAGATAACCTAAAAATGGATTGGGGAAGACATCATTAAGAATGATATATTACTCTTATCTCTTATTGATTAATCTAGCTTTCATTTTACTTTATTTTTTCTCACATTTATTATTATTTAAATCCAATAGCAAATTCGTGAAAGTAGTATATTAAATATTAAATATTCTAAATATTAGAAAAATTAATAGAAATTTTCTATAATGATTACCCCAGATTTTATGTCACTAAAGATATTGTGTAATTTTATTTTAATTATCATAGATTTCAATTATGGGAAGATTATTATGGATATAAAATGTAAAAGGAATATGATTAAAGAAATATTAAATGTTTTAGATTTTTTTGTCGTATTAATTAAATTTGAAATATAATTTTTTATTATCCGGCCACCCCTTAATCACAATCCAAGTAATTAGAGAGGAGGTATAACAGTTTTGTCAAACTGGAGGGGTTTAAAATTTATTGTAAACCTTAGGGGAGGTCTATAGAATTTTACCCATGAAATAATAAATTTCCGTAAAACACTTGGCGGCTGACGTGGTAATCCATCTTGGCGGCTCAAGGCTGTCTAAATTTCGTCAATCTCAATGTGATCGTCTTGTCCAATTGCAATTCATCCCCCTCACACCTTTTCAGTGTTTTCCCACACTGTTTTGCTTTTGTTTTTCTGAAAACACTTTCAATTTTCCTGACGCTGACCCCTTCTCCCTTCCATGCAACGTATTAATTAATATCATTATTAATAATACAGTCAAGAATCAACCCCCATTCGCCCATCTTTCTCTGTCTCAGCTTGCTTTTGAAGAGCAGTTTTCCTGTTTTTGTTTTCTTATTTCTTCTTTAAATTTAATATTTCCTGACAAGTTTGAAGTTGCGGTTTGACCACATGCAAAAAACCAAAACGATAAGAGCAAAAACAAGTCTTGGTTTCCTGTTATCTTCAAATTCTTTCTTCTTTCTTTCAACCACTCCACTCTCTTTGTATTAAAAGTGTCGTTTCTGTCTCCAAATTGCTTGTCATTTTGCTGTTTGGCTTGAGGGAAATTTGGCCGAAACGAAGAAGGGAGCGGAGATAAGTTTTGTTGCAGAACGAAAATGAGGTTTGGTCTTTCAATGACCAAGGCTGTTTCTGTTTTTGTTTTTGGATTTTTGGTTCTCAACTGCTGTGTGAACTTTGGATCACACGCTCAGCTTTTGCCTGACGAAGAAGGTAAATTTCACTACAATGAACTCACTTTAACAGTTAATAGTTCTTAGTATCTGGGAAAACATTAAGTTTTGTTTTTGTTATTGTTTCTGTTTACTTGAACCTGCTTGTGAAAGAGCGTTTTCTGTTTGGTTGCCTATGATAAGAAAACAGAACTAAATTGTAGTCTTATGTTTTTATTTTGTGTATAAATTTGTAAAGGGGATTCGGAGTTACTGATTTTAGTTTCTGGGTATATCTTTTGTGAGTGTTTTTGTTCTGTTTACTTGGACATGTTTGTGGAAGAGCGTTTTCTGTTTGGTTACCGGGAATTTAAGGGAAATTGAAGAAATTTGTAGTCTTATGTTTTTATTTGTATAAATTTGTTAATGGGATTAGAAAGTTACTGATTTTAGTTTCTGGGTATGTTTTCAGTGAGTGCTTTTGTCCTGTTTTTGACATTTGTTGTGAGAATTCTTCTGTTTGGTTGGAAAGAATCTTAAGGAAGTTTATTAAAACGAAAGATTGAAGCTTTTGAATTTTTGTTATCATAGGTGGACCTAGAAATAATCTCTTTCTCTGTCAGTAATTTACTATGATTGATTGTTTGATGTTTGGTTGGCGAGAAAATGTAAGCCATTTGAGAATTTTTCTTATTCTGGGAAAACAAGTCGTGTGAGAAAACAATTTGAATATTTCTGTTCAATGTTTTCTTTCTCTTTGGTTTCTTCGTATGCTTTTTGTGATTGATTTTAGTTTCTGGGTATGTTCTTCAGTAAGTGTTTTTGTTCTGTTTTTGACATTTGCTGTGGGAATTATTCTGTTTGGCTGGCAAGAAACTAAGAAATGAAGAAAAAGAAAAAAAAAAAAAAAATGGTTGAAGCTTTGACTTACTTTCTTTCTTTTTACTAAATCCCACCTAGGAAAGAATCTCTTTCTCTCTCAATATTTCATTTACTAGGATTATTATTGTTCATGGTCAAATCTCTCTCCTATTTGCTTTCTATCTATTTATTTTTCATGTTGTTTGTTTGGTTCTCGAGAAAATGTGGGGATCGGAGAATTTCACTTTTCTGGGAAAATAATTAGTGTAAGAAGCCATTTGGAATATTTTACTTAAAATTTTCTTTTCTTTCTCTATAAATAGTAACTAGTTTTTTTGTGTTTTATTTATTTATTTATTTTGAACTTTGAATCAATAATGCGGACCATCACTATAATGGTCCCTTTAAATAAATATTCCTATAAAAAAAAAAACCCACCAAATATTTTATTAAAAAGTAGATATAAAAGTAATTCCATTGTTTGAAAACTCTCTGATTGTCTCAATTATTGTTCTAAACAAAATTAATTGCTTTTCCATGTGATTGCGTGTAAAATTGTCATTTTTGTGAGCATTATTTGTATGATGATAAAAGAAGGAAAACTTAGCTATCAAAGAGATGAAATATTTAACTAATTTTGGCTTTGTTCCTTCATGAAATATTTAATTCTGTGTTGGTTCACATGGGGAAATTTGGTAACAGTGTATGTCCGAGACATTAATTTGATTCTGTGAAATGCATTAACTATCCAAGAATTTTGATTTCCCACAACACAAACAAAACTTGTTCTCTGTTTTTCTTGCCAGTTGGATTATGATTTGTTTCTGTAATTGTAAGACTGTGACATTTATTGAATTTCGACGAAGCTCTGATTAATTCCTGGAAATGTTCATGACCCATTTGAGATTACTGTTTCTGCTTTTTACTCTGATTAGCAAATTTACTGTGTCTCTCCAAGTTATGGAGCAAGTTGCCTCGCTGCCATTTCTTGACACAGTTTTTTAGTTGGCAAAAGCAGAAAAAAGTATGTAGTACCCAAACCTGGGAAAAGTTTTTTAAACATTAGAGGCTGGAATTAATTAAGCTTGATTGAGACACAAAGGGCAAGAATGATTTTGTTGATCTTCAAACTTATTTATTGACACTTTTTGACCATTTGTATTATCTTTGACGTGGTCAAATATTGAAACTGATAGCTTTAGCATTTCTGTTTTGATTTACTCTTGATTCAATTTAGTATCAATGCTGATAAACCAGTAATTTTTTTTTTTTACTAAATACCTAATCTCTGATTTGTCTGTAACAGTGAGTGCTCTCCAAGCAATTTTCTCAAAACTGCAGGTTAAAAATATTCGAGCGAACTCAACTTCTTGCACTGACCATGAATGGACTGATTACGATGGTTCAAATGGAAGCAATATCACTTGTGATTGCACCCAGAACAACAATACTGTTTGTCATGTCACTATCATGTATGACCTTGTTCCCTTTAACCATTTTCCATATATTTGAAATTTATGTTATAGCGTTTACTTAGCAAGTAATGGGAGCTGATATTATAATATCCAAATTATACCATCCATTTTGTTTGGTCACAAATATCAATTTTTTTGATCAATATGTTCTTGATTACCAAGTGTTGTGGCATATTATATGAATTCTAATGCTTTTGACGTTCACTGTTAAATTCTGACTTGTTCTGTTTGTACTTTCTACTTATATGTTTTCTTATTATTTTTGTTGTGATAGCTTTCTTAAGGGCCTAAATTTAGCTGGAGTTTTTCCAGAAGAATTTGCAAATCTCACTCTTCTGAGACAAATGTAAGTGGATGTTTCTTTTTTCTGCATTAGGATATTATTCTGTTAATGCCTCTGGGACATGATTTTAAAGAATCGATGCCTTTCTTTTTATTTCCAAAACAATATGTAGTCCTCTCAAATGGTACAACTTTAACTATCATTGTGTAATATTGACACTCTTTATGAAATGGCTCTCTAAGATTGAGCACTAAGTGATGTTGGTTTTGTCTAAACAGCGATCTTGCCCGCAACTATATCAATGGAACAATCCCTGCAAGATTGGCTCAGCTCCAAAATCTTACCATTTTGTAAGTTGCTCCAGACTCGTACCCACTTCAATTTAGTTCTCATCTGTTTTTTTTTAATCCGGGTTTCAGAAATTCCTTATATTTTCTTGCTGTGACTTTGAGGGCTTTTTTCAATTTTGTTATTCATTTAGTTATTGACAATTTAGATAACTCATTGGTGGCTGATTCATAACTCTTACGTAAATTACAGGTCTGTTCTAGGAAACCGTGTTGGCGGTTTACTTCCCCAGGAAATTGGTGATTTTTCTTCACTGGAGGAGCTGTAAGTTATTCATTAGAGTCTATTTTTAAATGAAGAAAGAATTAATTAAAACATCAATGACAATTTAGATTCATTTTCCAGGGTCTTGGAAGCTAATGAATTTGAAGGACCTATTCCTGAGAGCCTTGGAAACGTGAGGAGCTTAAGGAGAATGTAAGGCTTCTGTCCATATTTTCCAATATATTCTTTTTCTGAAGAATCAGGCAACTGCCGTTTTTGGTTCTGTTCAAATTTTAACCCATTGTTTACTTTTACAGTCTTTTTTCTTCAAACAATTTTGCGGGATCAATACCAGAATCATTTGGCAACCTGACAAACTTACAAGATTTGTAAGTGATTTAAGGAGACACAAATATATGAAATTCTAGTGGTCTGAATTCACAAATTTCTGATAAAAAAGTTGTGCTTGCAGTCGGGTAGATGGAAATAACTTGACAGGGAAGATACCTGATTTCATTGGGAATTGGACTAATATGACCAAACTGTGAGTTTTTAACTGCATTCCATAATACACCAATAGTTTTCTTCTTTAAGAAACTAAATTGCAATTGTTTAGAAGTTGTAGTTATCTCAGTTGTCTTAAATCTTTTGCAGTGAGATGCAGGGAACCTCCATGGAGGGACCTATTCCTTCCTCTATATCACGGTTGACGAAGTTAACAGAACTGTAAGCACTTGGTCCTGCATAATACTGACTACATTATTCAGATTAGCAAATTGTTGTAAATAGAGAATCCTTTAATGATTGAGCCGTTGACAATTTTCAATGCTTATATGCATTTTCAGGAGGATTTCTGATTTGAAAGGATCAAGTTCGCCTATCCCCAATTTGCAGAATATGACTGAAATGGAAAGATTGTGAGTTGACATTGACTTAATTTACTGCAATATAACATTCAATGTGGCTCATTTTTTTATTGCATTAACTTGTCAACAAATTGACTCTATTTCTATGACTCAGGGTACTGAGGAATTGCTTGCTTAATGGTACAATCCCACAATATCTTGGGGATATGACAGCTTTAAAACTTCTGTAAGTTGCTAATCTTTTTTGTGGTGATGGATCAACTTATATAAGAAACTGCACCTTCTTTTTGGGATAGGAAACAGTATATAAGAAAATGCGTTACAGTTGATAGATTTGTTTGAAGAAAATTTAACTAATTTATAATTGCATGGTCCTATTTTATTATTGTAGAGACTTGAGCTCCAACCAGTTGACTGGTGAAATTCCTGGAACACTTCAGAGTTTGGCTGCCATAGATTTTGTGTAAGTCAATAAGAACATATAGTGATCCCTTGTCTATAAGCACTTTCATATATAGTCGCTAACTTACCAGTGGTTTGCATACTTTTCTTTTTCTTAGTTTCCTCGGCAACAACTCATTGACTGGAGCAGTTCCCGGTTGGATACTAAATGGTGACAAGAAATGGTAAGTTTGCCATATTTTTTCTCGCTGATGTGAGACTTAGCTGTCAATTACATTTTGAATAATTTTTATCGATTCTGTGGCATTGCAGGGATTTATCTTATAACAATTTTTCGGAGCCATTTACAGCTAGTTGCACACAGAGCAAAGTGTAAGCAACTTTTCTATATCAGTTACTTATATGTGCAAATCTGCTTTTTTTTAGTTATTATAATTAATTCTGTAGTTTCTTCTATTGTATCTAAATCTTTCTTGTATCACTTAACAGGAATGTAATCTCCAGTCTTCCATCCTCTGTGAGCAACTCGTAAGCTTTTTCCTTATTCTTTTTTAATTTTTTTGTTATCAGTAAGGTTGTAATTTTCTTTCTTGTTTCTATTGAAACAAAAACATAAATGATTAACTCAAAATAAATTTTCAACTGGTAGAAATTCTTGGTGCTTGACGAAGGACCTTCCCTGCCCCGAAAAAGCCACACGTAAGTATAATTACATGTCAGTTTGTTCTTTCATGAATTGCAATATAACCATCTGATATAACCATCTAGACCCCCAACAGAAGCATTTCTTAACACCTTTTTCTTCTTTTGATGTACCTGCAGACTATTCCTTGTTCATTAATTGTGGAGGAAGTCTCTTGAGTTCTGGGGGCGACAGTTATGAAGAGGACCTCAGCACAGAAGGCCAATCATTCTTTTCTTCGGTAGGCAGAAAATGGGCTTATAGCAGTACTGGGGTTTTTACAGGCAATGAAAGTATTAGTTACTTGGCATCAAGCCCAAGCCGTCTGAATGTGAGTGGTGAAGAATACTACAAAACTGCACGCCTATCACCGCAATCACTTAGGTATTATGGCCTGTGCATGCGACAAGGCAGTTACAATGTGAAACTGCACTTTGCTGAAATTATGTTTACGAATGATCAGACATTCAGCAGCCTCGGAAGGCGAATATTTGATGTTTCAATTCAGGTAAAGGAAAAGCGAATATTTGACGTTTCCTACTTGTTAAAGATTTCTTCAGTTTTTGAGAAGAGGAAGAATGTCCACTTTCAGTTAAGCTTGCAAAGTTCTAATAATCACAATTTGGCATAGGGGGAGGTAGTTTTAAGTGACTTTAATATTATGGAGGAAGCTGGAGGCGCTGGTATTGGCATCACCAAGGAATATAAAAATGTCACAGTAAGAGGCAGCACTTTGGATATCCATTTATACTGGGCAGGGAAAGGAACTGCTGCCCTTCCGGCTAGAGGTGTCTATGGACCTCTTATATCTGGTATCACTGTGACACCAAGTAAGTTTTTCTCCTATATAAGGATTTCCCCCTTTTCTTTCTGCCAACTTGTCCTGTAACTTCTTTTTAATTTCTTCTTGTAGACTTCGAAGTTGACACTGGGGGTTTATCAGTCGGAGCCATTGTTGGCATCGTAATTGCTTCATGTGTAGTTCTCATACTGGTGGTGTTGGTTATACTATGGAAGATGGGTTACTTGTGGGCAAAAGACCTTGAAGACAAAGGTAATGTTGATAATTCAAAACTATGTTTGGAGTAGTAAAATATTTTTGCTTCATTCTTACATTAATATGCCTGTGCATTATGCACAGCAAAGCTACTGTTTTCTCCTATGGTTGGCTAAGTTTTATCTCTGTTCTTGTTGCAGAACTCCGTGCTCTTGATCTTCAAACTGGTTTTTTCACTCTAAGACAACTTAAATCTGCTACCCATAATTTTGACCCTGAAAATAAGATTGGTGAAGGAGGATTTGGGCCTGTTTACAAGGTAACGATGGTTCTTATATTAAAACTATCAAGTTTACTCATACTTCGTAAGACAGTGGCAAGTGCTAGGGAAATGCCATGTTTTCAGTATTCTGAAACTTTATTCTTTCGATTCTAGGGTACATTGGCGGATGGTGCTGTAATTGCTGTGAAGCAGCTCTCCTCCAAATCAAAGCAAGGAAATCGTGAATTTGTGACTGAGATAGGCATGATATCTGCTCTACAGCACCCAAACCTTGTGAAGCTTTACGGCTGTTGTATTGAAGGAAAAGAGTTATTGCTAATATACGAGTACCTGGAAAACAATAGTCTTGCTCGTGCACTTTTCGGTAATTGGACCACTGATATTTAATGGACTTATATAATTTCTAGAATTAACTGTGACTGAATTCTTGTATTTTCTCCTATTTTAGGTAAACCAGAACAACTGCTCAACTTGAACTGGGAAACAAGAATGAAGATATGCATAGGTATTGCAAGGGGATTAGCTTATCTTCACGAGGAATCAAGGTTGAAAATTGTTCACAGAGACATAAAGGCAACCAATGTGCTGCTTGACAAAGATCTAAACGCTAAGATATCTGACTTCGGTTTAGCTAAGCTTGATGAAGAAGAGAACACCCATATTAGCACACGTATAGCTGGAACAATGTAAGTCTTCTGTTTCTCTCTAAATTTAGATGCTCCTGTAAGTCTTCATTGGCCAGTGGAACGGTTTTAAGCTTATGTTTTGATCTCTGTTTCTTCTGCAGAGGGTACATGGCACCAGAATATGCAATGAGGGGTTATTTGACTGATAAAGCAGATGTGTACAGCTTTGGGGTTGTTGCTTTGGAGATTGTCAGTGGGAAGAGCAACACTAATTATAGGCCAAAGGAGGAGTTCGTTTATCTTCTCGATTGGGTAATCTATATTAACTGCATCCATCACTTCCAGACATTTTGTGAAGTTACATTTGCAGTTCTTGCTTTGACATTGTGACTGACATTTTTTCTTTTCTTTTCTTATTGCAGGCATTGGTTCTGCAAGAGCAAGGAAACCTTCTTGAACTTGTGGATCCAACTCTTGGTACAAAGTTCTCCAAAAAAGAGGCAATGACCATGCTTAACATTGCTCTTTTATGCACCAACTCATCTCCCACTCTCAGGCCACCCATGTCTTCTGTAGTTAGTATGCTAGAAGGCAAAAGTGCAGTCCAGGCACCGATTATTAAGCGCAACACTGACAGCCAGGATGCGAGGTTCAAAGCATTTGAGATACTATCACAGGACAGCCAAACCCGCGTCACAACCTTCTCTCATGATAGTCGCGAAGGACCTTGGGCAGATTCCTCGACTTCTGTCCAAACCACGGACGTGTCCGTACAGGATTCTTCATCAAGAAAGCTTCTTTAGTAATCTTTAATGGTCATTGAAAATTTGAGACCTGATGCTTTGAAATTATTTTATATAAAATTGTAAAGAAGGGTGAGTTGAATGCATTTATGTAGCTCGTATTATGAGTTTTATTAATTTATTGGCATGTATTCTTCGTACAAGACTGTCAGAACAGTTTTCTATTCGAATTTTGAAAATAGTAGAAGCACTATGGCTTTCTTTGTTATTAGTCATTACGATGTTTCTGTCAGAGTTTGATAATGGAGAGGCAAGAGAGACGATCTAAGTTGCCGGAGTATGCCAAGAAGAATGAGAAAGAAACTAAAGGCTTTTTTTATATTTTTTGAGATCATGGTTATTAATATCTTATGATACCTAATACGTATTATACGATACGATTTGATACAGGTCGTCAACGATACGTATCAGAGAGTGTATCATAAACATTTTGATACATTTACAAGTATCCTACGATAGATACGATATGTATTCGTTCATATCTTTAAAAATATCAATACAAATCGATATAATTTTATTAATTTGGGCGAAAGGCCCAAAAAAATTTCTGGTTGGAATCAGGTCATCCAACCCGATTGACTAGAACCTATCCAAATTTAGAAAGTGAAGAGGAACATATATTGTCCATTTTGCATGATAATAATAATACAAGTGAAGATATAGATATTGACACTGATCTTGGAAATGATATGAATGGTTAAAGAGAAAATAACATAAATTCTTAATTTTGATTGTGTAATATTATAATTTAAAGCCAATAATACCACAAAATTATTTAATTAATCTTGGTGATGATATTAATTTTTAGAAAATTTTGATTATTTTATTAATTTTTTTGAAAGAATGCATATCATATAATACAACACAATACATAAGATATAATTAAAAAAATTAGATTTTTGATACATGATATGATACGCGATTTGATAACTATGATTGAGATATCTCACATATACATGTTTACATCCATCTATACAATAAGAAATGAGCATGTAAGGGAAGCAAAATATTACACAATAAAGTCGTAATCTCAACCATAAGGAAAAGGAATAAATTACAATATACATGTTTCATTTAGAACCAAATAATATCTCCATTGATGGTTGAATCTCTTTGTTCCATATCAACAGTTGCCTCCGATATTTGAACACTCAAAAAGTATTTATCATTTATAGTTTCAAATTTATCTGCCAACATCCTCCTTGTCTTAAAGGAAGTTTGCTATAATAACCCAGTATCAAGGGATGGCACACCTGATAATGAAAGATCAGGTTTTATTTAAAAAGCAGAAACCAAATCTAACATGAACACGTTTTAATCATATTATTAAATATTAGACTGTTAACTCTTGTGTAATCTATAGCATAATTTAGCGTTATATATTAGAGAACAAATTTGTAAGTCATTTAGTTTCACAATTATATATGCCCTTTAACAAAAAAAAAAAAAAAAAAAACGACATTTTGAGAATTAAAATTAGTAATATAATGTATATAAATATTTATAAAAAAAAAAATGGAATACAAATATTGGGAGGGTAACATTGGACCTAATACTAGATTTATACACAAAATGGGCTTAAATTGGACACATTATGTGGCATAATGAGCCAATGGACTCCTAGAGTAAGTGAATCCGTTGTGTTTGCTCCAAACTGGACTGATCCATTTATTAGTATATTTGCTTTCAGGTCCATAATGCGAGGACTTTTTATAACCCAGCAGCCAAGACCAAAATTGTGGTGCTCCACTTCGGTGTGTGTGCCCAACATATAATCAAACCACACCCTTTCGCCGTTTACTTCACCAGGCTGGCAGGCTCTAGAGTTCAACGACTTTTTCCCACCGAAAAAATGCCTTAATGACACTTTTCCACCCTCAAAGTTTGAAAACACCACTTTCCCACCCAAAACACAAACTTTGTTGATAATTTCCTTTAAATACAGTAAATATTGATTGCAAAGACAAAAATAACCCCACCAAATTTCAATCCCTAATTGCCAACCACCACAAATCAAACTTTCGCGCACGATTCTGGTTGACTCTGACCACCGCAATCCAACCTTCTACCACCAAACGAATCACTAGTCATTCATCTTTAATAGCCCTAACAATTTAGACCGTGATAGCTCTCCAATTGTCGACGACCGTGGTTTAGTTCTTTTGTTGAATGGTTGATGTCTGATGAACAATGAGCAACCAAGGTCTAGGATGATGGGGCTTTTAGAGAGGTGTGGTTGATACTACAGGTGGCTTTACGTGGAATTTTTGGCAACCAAATCGGTTGGAATCTAGCCTAGAAGCTCAACGGTCATGCGAACAAAAAACCAATGGTGGCCAGCGATTGGTGTGCTTGGTGTGGTGGAAAAGTGGGGGGTTTTTGTGAGTGAAGGATGGGGTAAGCTAAGGGTGGAGTCTGCACTGATCAATGACGTTGGAATCATATCGAATCGCCTGAACTGACCTAAACCGATGGTTAGGGTTTGGGAAGGTATCTGACCAAAATGGCAATATGACCCTTCTGCCTTCACTTTTAATTGGCTTTTGACCATTCTATCATTCTTCATAATAAAAATTACTAATAGATTTGTGTTTTGGGTGAGAAGTGATATTTTAGAAGTCTACAGGTGAGGAAGTGTCATTAAACTATTTTTTAGGCAGAAAAAGTCGTTAACTCCCAGGCTCTAGGCTCTATGTCTATGTCACAGGAACAAATGTTGAACTGCGTGTCACACTGCAGCTTATCTTGAAAAGTTGTTGCCTGGTCACATCTTAACCAATTACAACCGTTTGATAAGAAACAAAATATCTCATTGGTTAATGCCCCCAAAGCAATGATAGTAATCTGAAATTTCCAGTCCTTTCGCATTCCAAGAAAAATTCCGTCCCCAAATGTCACCCATTTCCCTCCCTATAAATTTCCCAGTTACAATATTTTCTTGTAAAGTGCCACACTCTAGTCCTAACTGCATCAATTATCCCAAATCACATTTCTGCATTTTCTTGCCATGGATCAAGCTGAGATATGTGAGATTCATCATGTTGTCTCTGGTGAAGAAAGTTTGAATTGCAGAAATAATGTGAACTCACTTGTGCTATATGATGTGCTAAAATGTTTTCTGCTAAAATATGCCATGGATGGAGCTGACAAGGTGTTTAAGGATCAAAAGTTAAGAAAAACTAACTCTCCTGGAAATGTCCTGGAGAAGGGATCAAATTTACCTGACAATTATCAGGCTTTCCCTGTTGAATATGCAAGGAATAGGAAAAGAAACCAAGTTAATCATAGTTTGCAGGAAAAAGAAAGAGTAGTATGCACTAACTTGGATAACAAGGTTCTTGAATCAAGAAAAGATCGATTGTATGGCACCAATTCAAGGTATAACAGTTACATCGATGAGTCAGAGATGGTAAATTCTCCTTCAGGGATTTGCATTGGATTTTCTTTGAGCATTCTTGCTTTCCTTGCAGTCTTTCTAATAAAATTTGTCGGATTTCAAGTTAATCTATTTGTTAGTTTCATCACATTTCCAATTTGCTTGTCATACTTTTCATTCATGTTCTTGTTGTTTCCATTTCAAACTATAAGGCATGTATTTTGTGCTTGAAGGTGAGAGTGGAGTTCCTGTCTGCAAATGGTAAGGTCACAGCTAGCTCAAGCAATCCATGTATGCTGCAGTTTAAAAGCCAACCTATTCATTTTTTCCAAACCATTTTGAAGAGTGCTCCTCTTATTGCCGGTTTCCAATCCGAATCCCAGATCCTGAACATAAAAATGAATGAATTCAGGGAAGGAATTGAACCTACAGCACGCTTGAAGGTGATTCTCAAACAGCGAGCAGAATACAAATCCGGTGCTGGTATACCTGAAATATATGCAGCATCACTAGCTGTAGAGTCCCGGCTCCCTCAATTGAAAAGGATCATTTGGTATTGGAGGAGAACCATTTTTGTATGGGCCAGTTTTATGATGTTTTTGGCAGAGTTGGTGATTGTTTTAGTCTTTTGCAGAACCATGATTATACCTAGAGGAAGGACTAAAATTGTCCATGATAAAAAGGGCTCTCCTTTAAGCACTATCTCATGGTACAAAAGCGGCTGAAGCGATGGCTTTTGGAAGAATTTTGCGAAGAAAAATAACAACGGCAATGAATAATGTCTAACTGCAATAATAAGCTGAATATGTACCGACTGATTTTATATTATTTATGAGGAAAATGTTGACATAAATTAGAAATGCTGCATATCTCAATGAGTTCACAATCTAATTTGCTGATCTTGCAAATCCAACTCCTCCATTTTCAAGCTCTTGTACTGTGGTCTTGTACATTTCATCTAAAATAACAAATGGAAAGAAAAAGAAAACAAGGACTCATCATATGTTGCAACGATTGTTTTTGTATATATGTTAATTTGAATTATAAAATGGATGAAAGTGTTTACTTTTAAAGCTTGATATGCCTTCCTGTTCCAATTCCTAGCTTTGTATTCCATGGCTTTCTTTATCCCCTTTTGTAGAAGGATTGATGAGGGAAAGGCTGCATGAACAATCCCAGCTGCAGCAGCAGCTTTTCCATTGTATCTTTTCCTGAGGACAATCGGTCGGTTTGAAAACATTGTTGGAGATATAAATTTGATTTTACAAGTTTTATAAAAAGCGTTTAAATTTAGAGCATGACTGCATTCATACTCCGAAAAATACCCTGTAAGTACTGCTTCTTGGAAGGTTGACACGGGCAATTTTGAATGCAGAACAGCCATATTTCCTGGTGTCAATGACATTCCCAAATCAACCTATAATAAACAAAAAAACCTGGTAATGTTCAGGTTGTGATTGATAACAAATTTCAATACATTAATGGTCAATCTGTGGAGGAATGGAATGATTTACCTCGTTCATGAAGATGTAACCATGAGCCTGTAGTCATGAGCAAGTGAAAATACATATCCTGCTCCTACTGCATGACCACTGCAACATATGCAATTGTTATATAAACTATAATCTAAAGGTTGATGTTTGCATAAAAAGTTTCGGATATCTTCGATGATATATATAGGATTACGTTGGTGATTTTGCCTGGGAAACTTTCGTTATAATTGCTAGTGTTGGGATACAAAAAGTCAATAACTTGTTGACAAGCCTTTGAAACAGTAGTAAATATTCCTGCCACAGCTCCAAAGGTATCAGCATAAATTAGCCCACCAACACGAAGACAGAATAACTACTTTAAAGGCCACACTTACAATTGTTCCTTGTCTATCACATTCTTTTAGTTAGTTGACATCCATACCTTTTGAAAAGAATTTCCCCTGATTTCACAAGGCAAATCAATTCATGTTTCAAATAAAACTGAGAAGTCCAAACTGTTACCTGGTTGGTAGTAATCAAAGCATAAGCACACACATCTCCAGCTACCTGCATTTAAATCGAATCGAATTAGATATTACTTAAGGCTCAATATCTGATTGTTACAATTAGTAAAATATTCGAAAAACACATACACTTGGAAATAGTATTTACAGGATCAGGATCTTATGCAGTATACATAAAGTGGAATATCAGAAGCTGATGTTTAAATACCTGATCAAGCAGTTTGTGAATCAATCGTATAGCCTCCAGAGTTAACCTACTCAAATTTTAGAATGCACCAGGCAAACCAAGAGTGTCAAAGAAAGAAAACAGTTGAAATATTAAAAAGGGTAGTAGTTTATATATGTTTTGAAGTCACCTGCGTTGAAACTCTCCAGTCAAATTGAGTACATAAACACCTCCTTCAAGCCCGCTTAGCTCACAAAAATCAGCTGGGTTTAACTGGCGGAGTGTGAGTGGTGTCTGGTTCCACATGGGGGTTTGCTCTTCCATTTTGTTTATGCAATTTGGATTACAGGATCTTAAAGAAAGGATTCTCTTGCAATTGGAATACAGTTCACTTGCATTTATGTTATATATAAACCATAATATCCAATGTTGTAATGGCGTTTAGATTGTATCATGTGAGTCCATTCAAGCAATGACAAATGCAAAAACATTGTAAATTGTATAAGGGATTCTTTATATTTATTTCAAATCAAAATACTGAAACAATAACATTTGTTCGGTGGTGATTCTTGGAGAAATCAGTTAACAACCATCAATGATAGGGTTTGGGTTAGGATCTGTTTATATAAGGAACAGAGACCTCCAAGAACAAGAGATAGAAATATTAGTTGACCAAAATTCTTTATTCCTCCCCACAATCTAGATTTAGGCTATTATATAGCTTTACACTTGACTTTATTGACTCCCAAAATGACTCTAATTATAAAGGGATAATAAGTCATAAAAGGACTCTAATTATAAAGAGATAATAAGATAATCATAATTCTATCATAATAAGATAATAATATAATTATAAAGGATAATTATAAAAGATAATAATAAAAGACTTAACACACTTATCTTAATTCTAAAATAATCCTAACATTGCCTTCCCCTTCGCCTCAACCTTGTCCTCAAGGTTGCAAGGTATGACACCATTAACAGCAGTTATCCCGGTTCATCCTCGTGCTCATCATCATCCTCCTCCATCAGCAAGAGAAAGAACTTGGCCGTGCGTGCAGCGATGCCCAGGGTGAAAGCGCTCATCGCAATTATAGCACAAACATTTGTTGCATCGTTCTTGCATTTGTGTTGCTGTGAGTTGCTTAACAAGCAAGGAATCCTATTTGTTTGGAGTAGGCAGGGCCTGTTGCATTGAAGGAACATTAGGAGTTGATTTACTAGGATCGCAAGATACAGGGTCAACAGAATGCAAGTATAGTTGTAGATCCTGTAGCTTGTCCTCCTGTAAGCGGGCAAGACTCATGGCATAGTTGAGGGTGTGAGGCCGAAAGGACTACACCTCCCTTCGGATTTCTGGTTTGAGCCCTGATACAAAGCAACTTAGAAGGAACGTATCTAGAAGGCCAGAAACTTGATTAGAGAGTTCCTCAAATTCTGTTTGATAAGCGACTACAGAACCTATTTGAGTAAGTTTTGCCAATTGCCCTTGGTAATCCACAATCCGAAGGCCCAAAACGAATATCTAAATCCTGTAGGAAAGAATGCCAAGAACGGATCTGCCCATTGGAATGCATCCAGCGATACCAGGAGAGAGCTGGCCCATCCATGTGGAAGGAAGAGATCGTCAATCATTGCTCAGTAGAGATATTATGGTAATCAAAGAATTGATCGGCTTTAAACCTCCATCCACGTGAATCCGTGCCATCAAAACGAGGGACTTCTAAACGGAAAGACTTGGGAAAAAAACTCCCGGAAGTTGATCCACCTCACCCAGTCAAATCTGAAGATGATTCACCGGAATGTTGGTTTGGTTGTTGGTTTTGCTGGCAGGTTTGATCGAACTTGTTGTTTAGAGCTAAAATCTGCAAAGTAACATCTTGAAAACCAACTGTCAAAACTTCCAATTTCTCTGTTAAAGAAGTGAGAGTCTTTGCTTGGGTAGATTGTAGAGCCATAATTTTAGCAAGTTGCTCATCCAAAAGACGCAAGCGAGTGCCTTCAGCCATAACTAGGGAACGAGGGCACCAATGATAGGGTTTGGGATATGATCTGTTTATATGAGGAACAGAGACATCCAAGAACAAGAGATATAAATATTAGTTGACCAAAATTCTTTATTCCTCCCCACAATCTAGATTTAGGCTATTACATAGCCTTACACTTGACTTTACTGACTCCCAAAATGACTCTAATTATAAAGGGATAATAAGTCCCAAAAAGACTCTAATTATAAAGAGATAATAAAATAATCCTAATTCTATCCTAATAAGATAATAATATAAATATAAAAGATAATAATAAAAGACTTAACACACTTATCCTAATTCTAAAATAATCCTAACAACCAATCTGATGCCTGTCTTTTGTATTATTATTATTTTTTAAAGAATTTTTTCCTTTTATTTTCTTGTTAAATTTACAAAGGGAATTCTACAAATATAAAGAGAATCCCGGTAGCACTGGAGCAAAAAAATTCCAAAAGATTCTATATGTATTTATTAATTTGACTTTTTATATTAATTTATCTAATAATATTTTAACATTACTTTATATGAAAGATTTTGTATAGACTTTTTGTAAATGTAGTATTATTTAATATATAAAAACTACGAGATTCTATATTGTAATGGCATTTAAATTGGATCATGTGAGTTGATTCAAGCAATGACAACTGCAAAAACATTTTTGGCGTGTAAAATTAAGTTATTCAAGAACAAATTTTTGGCAGTGAGAAGTATTCTCTTGAAGAAATCAGTCAACTTATCCTTATTTATATAAATTCACGACACTAACTCAGTAACATTAAGATACTGCTTTATATTGGATATTACAACAAGTTTAATGCCTGCCTTATATGTTTATAATAGTTTTTCCTTTTATATATTTATTTTGAATCACGGAACTGTACAAATATAAACCTAAAAAGAATCCCCGTAGCCAATGATGGAGTCAGAATTTTGTCTCAAGTGATACTTCTATTTTGAATAGATGAAGAATTTAGTCATGAGAGAAAAAAAAAAAAAAATTAATTTTGAAATTATTAAGTATGTGTTGTAATTGGTAGGGGTGTTCAAAAAAATACAAAAACCGAACCAAACCGCTAACCAAACCGGTAACCGAACCAAAAAACCGGTTAACCGAAAAAACGGTTCGAAAAATTAAAAAAACCGAATTTTCGGTTCGGTTACGGTTCGGAAGAAATTAGAAATGGTTAACCGAAAACCGGTTTTCTAAACCGGTTTTTCAAATATATATATATAATAACATAAACTAAAATAAATCTTTAATTCACTCAATCTAAAATCCCAACCCAATTTTTTTTTTTAGTTCCCAATGTATTGTATATATTTACAATTAAATTTAGGACAAAATTAAAAAAAAAAAGTTTTATTAAAAAAAAAAAGGGAAAACCGGTTAACCGCTTTTTTTAAAACGGTTAACCGGTTTTTCGGTTAACAAAAAAACTGATTTTTCCTAAAACCAGTTCAGTTTAGAAAAGTGGTTAACTGGTTCGGTTAACCGCTTTTAAACACCCCTAGTAATTGGCCATCCACCACCTTAACTTTGAGGTGGTGAATGGGAGAGGGGGTTTTGGCTATATAAACCCTCCCTCCCCTTCATTTTTACTATAACAATTAATGGAGAAAGTGTAGAAGTATTACAGCCCCCTCTAATTCGACTCTCTTAAATTTTATCATTCTTCGTCTATTATATTTGCACCTTTAAAATTACATTACGTTATCAACACGAAAAACTTAATAAGTGTAACATTGCACCTCTATTGAAAGCAAATACCTCGATCTTATATGTGTTCTTTAATCTTTGTTTCCGCCTTTATGTTCGGATTCATTCATTATTATTAAATTCCGCCTCCATAGCCGGATTTACTTATTACTGTTAAATTCCGCCTTTATGGACGTATCTACTTATTATTGCTAAATTCCACCTTTATGGTCAGATCTGCTTATTATATATTATCAAATTTCGCCTTTATGGTCAGATCTACTTATTATTGTTAAATTTCGTTTTTATGATCGGATCTATTTATTATTGTTAAACTCCGCCTCTATGGTTAGACTTATTTATTATTGTGAATAACGCCTTCATGGACAGATCTATTTATGCTTGTTGAATACAATTTTTATGGTTGGATCTACTTTTATTATATTTTCCATCTTATATACGATAAATGAACTTGAAGTTTCATAAATAAATATCATTTTAGAAATTGAAGTTCTAAATATTGATTACAAACATGAAGTTTGTAAAAGGATGACTCAATGGATACCGCATTGAAACTTTAAGTGAAAAGGATGGAGACTTTCTATGCATCACTACTAATATTTCATGTCAAAAGCTTGTACTGGAGAAACTCCCTACTTTTTCATCAAGGTTATATTACACATTTCTAAAGAATGTTGAAGTCTATGCAGTTATGAACTAGAAGTTCACTGATCCTGAACTTTGTAAAATTTGGCATGACCGTCTTGGTCACCCAAGATCTACTATGACGCATAGGATCATAGAAAACTCACATGGGCACCCATTAAAGAACCTGAAGATTCTATCACCTAATAAGAGTGCTTGTATTACTTGCTCACAAGGGAAATAGGCACTTAAGCCATCCATCACTAAAGTTAGCCTAGAATCGCCATCATTTTTACAAAGGATTCATGGGGACATATGTGGACCTATTCATCCACCAAGTGGACCTTTCTGCTACTTTATGGGACTGATTGACGCATCGACACGATGGTCATATGTTTGTCCACTATCAACCTATAATGTTGCCTTCGTTAGATTGTTGGCACAAATTATCAGATTGCGGACACACTTTCCAGATTACCCAATTAAAGCAATCAATCTGAACAATGCTAGTGAGTTTACCTCAACGACATTTGATGATTATTGTACAGCAATGGGAATTGACATTGAGCACCCAATACCACATGTACATACCCAAAATGGTATGGCAGAATCATTTATAAAGCGTATCCAATTAATTGCAAGAACTTTGCTATTACGTACGCAATTACTGACTTTTGTCTAGGCTCATGTTGTTTTACATGCTGCAGTATTAATTCACCAAAGACTCACTACATATAATCAATACTTCCAATACAACTTGTATTTGGACATTAGCCTAATATATCCCATTTAAGAACTTTCAGTTGTGTTGTGCAAGTTCCAATTGCAACCCCTCAACGCACCAAAATGTTCCTGATGGGCGATCTGTTTACCACACGTTTTGCGGATTGCCATTTTGATGAGATAACATCCCCATCTTTAGGGAAAAAGGTAAAGCCTCATGATGTAAGGCT